GCCCCAGTGCCGAACCCCCGAACGCTCGAACGAAATCCAGGTCGAAAGTGTTCCCTCGACACCCCGATTCAAAGACCACCATGCCACCATACGCTAATGTCCAATCCCACCGCGACTCCCTCGAGCTCGCCTCTCTCGCCTCGTCCTCCCGCGCCGACTCTGTCGTCTCAGACCTGCCCTCCTCGCGTCCCTCCATATCCTCCTCCCGCAAGCTCTCCTTTGACGCCGAAGACCCCCTAGACGCCGCGAACCCGGCCGCCGCCGCCTCCTCAGGGAGACCGAACCGCCATGACCGCTCCTACTCCGTCTCCTCGGGCTTCGACTTCGCCGCAAACCTCTTCCCCTTGAGCTCCACAGCCGGCGCCGGCGGCGCAGGCGGCTACGCACCCATTGGCGCGCCCACCTCGACCGCGATACAAAACGGCGGACTCGGCGGCGGCAGCTTGGAGAAGCACAAGACGCTCACGTACCTCAACGGCCTGAGTCTCATCGTGGGCCTCATCATAGGGAGCGGCATCTTTTCGAGCCCGAGCCAGGTGAGCTCAAAGGTCGGCTCGCCCGGCGCCGCGCTCGTCGTCTGGGTCATTGCCGGCGTGCTGGCCTGGACGGGCGCGGCTAGCTACGCGGAGCTCGGCGGCGCGATACCCTTGAATGGCGGCGCGCAGGTCTACCTCGCCAAGATCATGGGCGAGATGGCCGGCTTCCTCTTCACCTGGGTGGCCGTGCTGGTGCTGAAGCCGGGCAGCGCCGCCATCATCGCCATCATCATGGGCGAGTACCTCGTGCGCGCCGCCATTGGCGCCGAGGCCGAGAGCCTCAGCCCCTGGGTCAACAAGGCCGTCGCCATGGTCGCCCTCGTCTCCGTCACCCTGCTCAACTGCGTCTCCACCAAGCTCGGCACAAAAGTCAACGACTGGCTCATGTTTCTCAAGTTTATTGCGTTGCTGGGCGTTACTGTGACTGGCATCGTCGTCGCCATCACCGGCAAGACCGTCACGGGCAAGGCCAACATGGAGTGGAAGTCGCACGAGTGGTTCGAGGGCACCTCCACCGACCTCTCCGCCTGGGCCGTCGCCCTGTACGCGGGACTATGGGCCTACGATGGCTGGGACAATGTAAGTTTTTTCGTCTCGAGATTCTGAGCGCCGCTGACCATCTAGACAAACTACGTCGTCGGCGAGTTCCGCAACCCGAGCCGCGACCTCCCGCGCGTCATCCACACGGCCATGCCCCTCGTTATCCTCTCCTACGTCCTCGCCAACATTGCCTACTTTCTCGTCCTCCCCCTCGCAGCCGTCAACGCCTCCAACACGATCGCCGTCCAGTTCGGCGCAAAAGTCTTTGGCCCCGTCGGCTCCCTCGTCCTCGCCCTCGTTGTCTCGGCATCCTGCTTCGGCGCCCTCAACTCGTCGACCTTTACCTCGTCGCGGCTGGTGTACGTTGCCGGCAAAGAGGGCTACATCCCGTCCGTCTTTGGCAGCATCGGCCTGTCGCGCAACGGCAACGGCGGCGGCGGCCACTCCGTCACCACATCCCGCACCTCCCGCGGCCGTCTCGCAAATCTCCTGATCCGCGCCCTCGGCGACGACGACATGGGCCTCTTTTACACCCCCGTCTGGGCCCTCGTGCTCAACGGCCTGCTGACGGCGGCGTACATCGTCGTGGGCGAATTCGGCACCCTGCTGACGTTTTACGGCGTCGCCGGGTACACATTCTACTTTATCACGGTGCTGGGCCTCATTATTCTGCGCGTGCGCGAGCCGCAGCTCGACAGGCCGTACCGGACGTGGATCACAACGCCCATTATCTTTTGTTGCGTTTCGCTGTTTTTGCTGAGCCGCGCCGTGTTTGCGCAGCCGCTGCAGACGGTGACGGTGGTGCTGTTTGTGGTGGCGGGCGTGCCGGTGTACTTTTGGCGGATCCGCGGGCGGGATCAGCAGGTTGTCAAGAGGGAGGCGAGGCATCGTGGGTATGAAGAGGGGGAGGAGAGGGCGTGGTGGCAGTTTTGGAAGAGGTCATGATTGCGCCCGAACCCGGAGGGTGAGGGTTTGCGAGGTACAGAAAGAGAAAGAAAAAGAGAGAGAGGAGTCGCGGCTTGGGCGATTCGCGCCCCTGCTGCTTCTGCGTACCTGTCTGAGAGGTCATGTTTATTAATTTTGCATATCGCCGCCGTACGGTGAGTGGCGGCGCGCTGGGGATGGTCCGGGTTCCCATTCCGAGGAGTTTCTTTTTTTTTTTTTTTTGGGATTCGAAAAGTGAAAGAGACGTTTGGCGTCGGCTGGGGCTGCCCGCACCGGAGCGAGGTGGCAGTCTTTTTCAATTCACAATTCCAAGGCTTTCTGGCATGAAAAAAGATTTTATCTAGAGCGTGGAGGATTCATGGCAGCGAGCGAGCGTCATGCGAAATAGCGTTGCCGGCTCAAGCTCGCGGCGCCTTTTTTGCGGCGCCTTTCTGAAATAGAAACAAAACGGTACAAGCACACTCCCGAAAGACAACGTCTACGTGTGACTATGACGGCTCACGATCACGCTCACGTGGCGGAGTCGAGTCGTCTTGAGCAAAATCGCCCGCGCTAGAAATCGCCGCGAGAAGAAGACGTGCTGCCCGGCCCGACGATTCGGGTGAAGAGCAAGGTATACATACCGTGCAAGCGTAGCAGCAACAAGACAAAAGAGGCAGAGTTTAGCTCCGTATCTTGCTGCTTTGGCAGAGAGATGGCATGCTGAGAGCTGGAGGGAAGCACGCCGCGAGCCTCGGGTCGACCCCCCCCCCCTTCTCCTTTCGCCTAACGACCACTCCCAACGGGTCTTGGATTGCCTCCTAGGGGCGTGGCCAGACGCTGCGCCAGACAGTCCCGAGCGGCTGAAGCCGTCCAGACAAATCACCCAATCAATGCCAAGGGAGAGACGGAGTTGCATCGCATCAGGTTATATTCCTATGTACGGTAACCTAGACTTCGTTGGAAGTCAAATGCTCATGCTAATGCTCAAAAACTACTAAAAACAAACGCTAGATTTCCCTCACACACAACCTTTCATTGGGGTATGATTTCCACTCCAATCGACACATCCAGAGAAAACTCGCTCACTTCTTCTCGCGCTGGCCGTACGCCTTGGTGGCGTAGTCGCCCTTGTGCACGATGAGGTCCTCGGGCTTGTAGTCCTCGCGACCGCTCAGGTAGCTGTCGATGATGGCCTTTGTGCCGTCGGCGTAGCGCTTCTGCGCGTCGAGCGAGGTGCCGGACATGTGGGGCACCATGGCGTTGCCGCCGCCGAAGGGGTTCTTGGCGGTGCGGAGCGGGTGGTCGCCAGGCGCGGGCTGGGGGAACCAGACGTCGCCGCCGTAGCCGGCGAGGTGGCCCGACTTCAGGGCGTCGGCGACGTCCTCCTTGACGACGATGGCGCCGCGGGCGGTGTTGATGAGGTAGGAGCCCTTCTTCATCTTGGAGATGAGGTCCTTGTTGAAGAGGCCGCGGGTCTTCTCGTGCAGGGGCGCGTTGATGGTGACAACGTCGCACTGGGCGAGCATCTCCTCGAGGTTCTCGACGCGGCGGCAGCCGATCTCGGCCTCCTTCTCGGCGGAGAGGGGCTGGTAGTCGTAGTAGAGGAGCTCCTTGCAGTCGAAGGCCTTGAGGCGGCGGAGGACGCGCTCGCCGATGCGGCCGATGGCGACGGTGCCGACGGTCTTGCCCTCGAGGTCGTACTCCTGCTTCGCGACGGCGGCGACGTCCCAGTCGCCGCGCTCGATCTGCTCGTGGGCGGGGACGAAGTTGCGGATGAGGACGAGGATGGTCATGACGACGTGCTCGGCGACGGAGACGACGTTGGAGCCGGTGACCTCGGCGACGGTGACGCCGCCGTTGGTCTTGTTGGCGGCGTTGAGGTCGACGTGGTCGGAGCCGATGCCGGCGGTGACGGCGAGCTTGAGGTTCTTTGCCTTTGCGAGGCGCTCGGCGGTGAGGTAGCCGGGGTGGAAGCTGTGATTGTTAGTCCTTCGTCCGTAATGCGTGACTGGGTGACTTACGGAGTGGTGATGATGATCTCGGCGTCGACGAGCTCCTGGTCAAACTTTGAGTTCTCGCCCTCCTTGTCCGAGGTGGTGACCAGAGTGTGGCCCTGATCCTCGAGCCATTTGCGGATGCCGAGCTCGTTCTCGGTGGTTCCCAAAAGGCCGGGGACCTATTGTGGTATCGTCAAGTCAGCGATCGTGGTCTTGCAGGATCGATGCCATGTCTTCAGGGATTGATGCCATGCACCCCGCATTGGGAGTTTCGGAGCTTGCACATCGCCAAGAAGTTGGGGGAGGGGTGAGGGTGGAGGGTGGATGACGGGAGGGGTCGAGAGGATGCCGATGTATCTGCGATCGACCTCCGAGCCCCGCACCTTCCCGTCATCCCCGCACTAAGCTCAGCCAAACGGCGGGGCAAAGCTCCGCCGGGAAGCTATCATGGTGACGTTCCTGGCGGGTGGATGCCCGGAGGATGCGGCAATGGCAGACAGTAGGCAATAGACAGAAGACAGAAGACAGAAAGAACTCACGTCTTTGGCGTGCTGACCGCCGTCGTAGAGGACTGCAAGAACCTTGACCTGGTTTTGGCGAGTAGTTGTTAGTGTGCGGATCGAATTGAGTTGGCCAGGCAATTTGCGAGGGAGAGTCGAGGATGCTGGGGAGGCCCGGCTGAATGCGGGTCGAGCAGCGAGGAAAGATGCCTTTGAGGACGTGCAAAGTCCCCGAGAGGCCAGAGGGGCAACGGAGCGGATGTGACGAGAGAGCAATACCATTGTGACTGATTTAAGGGTTTGAGTTGTTGTTGATTGAGAGACTGAAGCTCGGAGGGAGGGAGGTTGTTATATAGAAGTAAATCGAGATGGGAAATCCGGAAGTTCGGAGATCTGTAGAAGAGGTAGATGAAGATGTTTGTTGTGTGTGATGGAGTGGAAAGGCAGGTCGATGGAAAACCGGCCAGGGGAGGTTGTATTTATGTCTTGTAAGAGCGTCGATGCATCGATACGATACATTGATACATCGCCGGCTGACCGGGACTTTCAGACTCGCAGCTAGGGTCAGGGCGGGGAACCAAAACCACAGCGAATGGAGTACATGGACGTCAGAAAGAGGCAAGAGAATCCGGCTGCCGCGAATCTGCCGTTGTCTGGCCGTGCTGAGTCCTGGGTCTGGGCTGGTTCGATGGAATCGATTCATCGAATGTGATGGCTGCCTCCATCTCCTCTTTTCGTGCCTCTTTCCCGCGGCCTTTTGCCTCACCTCTCCCACTTCCTCCACCTCTCCGAGATACCATGCCCCTCCTTTCCAGAGTATCTCCTTGGGGCCAGTCAGATATCGGACAGGTATCGGCAAGGTTCGAGACGGCAGCGAGGCTGGGCGACAAAGGTGCGCAAAGGGAGACTCGGGGAGCTCTGAAAGCTACCTCTGGCTCGGCATCTCCAAGTCGGTCTCAGTGGTCTTTTTGCCTGGTACCTACACAGTAGATGTATGGGGAAAGCTGAAGACGTCCCATCATTGGCCGCGTGGTTCGTCTGCCCTCCACCCGAACGAGAGCTTCCCTTGCCCGCTTCAGTTGGCAGCACCGCCCATGGCACGATGAAACGCCGCGTCCAACCCGACCCCGGCAAATCTTCAACCCCAAGGCCGCAGACAGCACTCTTGTTGTGCAGCTAGACCAGGAGCTACCATCCATCTCGTCTTTTTGGCGACCAGGTGGCTGAGCCAATTCGCGTTGATCAAAAATACCATGCAATGCAGAGCGTGCAGTCGCGACAATCAGCAACAGCGCGCATCCTATCAAGCATCACGGTCCTGAGTGAGGGGTAACAAACCACCTTCCAAGACCGCCATCATACGCGCGCCGTTCCATCATTCAAAGCGAAAGCGGCTTGGGTTGTGTGTACTATTTGTTCTCATCACCTAATCACTTCTACGACGCTCTCCAATCGTTATCCGCCGTCGACAGGCGATCGTCTGTTTCGGTTACACACGACCGGGCCTGGTGTTAGACGGACCGTAGCAGATCCGCAGACATTGAGCCTTTGAAGCTGCGGAGAAACAATGGGCATGGGCGCTTCTGGCTAGCCATCTACAGCATGCACGAACCAATCCCTCATGCGCCGTTGGGTTGGAAAGCGGAGATTTGTCGTCAAGCTTTCGAGAGACCCCTCCGGAGGTGGTTCGGCGTTCTGTCGGGGTTTTCCTTGCGCGCGCACTGCGCGAGGGGTGGTTGAACTTCGGCGTCAAAAAACCATCGCACGACATTCCCGTCTGCTTGCTCTGCTTGGTTCCGCAACCTTGAGGGGCCTGGCTAACCCAGCAACGTAAGCAGTGCAAGGCATCGGCATCCGTCCCGGCGCCCAGCTGATAGCCGCCCATTGATGAGTGCACCTCTCGGGATCGATTGCGGCATTGGGAGGCGGATACGGTACACTACGGCGAGCCGCTCGTCTTTGAGCTTTACCTCCGAGCTGGCCTTACCCAGCCTGGCCACCATTTCTCGGCGTTTCGCTGTGCAGACGAAGGAAACATCGTGAGCCCCGTCGTGGAGTCTTCTATCGTCAGCTGTGGGAATCCGAGAATCGTCCACGGAGCCAGAACACGTCGACAAGTCTTCTCGACACGATTCGACAATCGTGACGGAATATCAGATCGCAGCGTGCCGCGGTTTCCGGCCAGGGATTCCGTCATCGATGCCGCATCGTGGCCCCGCGCGATCCTCTTCTTTCCTTGCCTTGTTGTCCGGCCCCGTCAGGGAGCTCACTCCGGTCCACTGTCGGGAGAGCGGCTGGTTGGCACAGGCGGGCGGGGGCCGAAGCACCTTTATAAGCCCGCTTTCGGGGAGAACTCTTCATCAACGGGCGCTTGGTCTAGGGGTATGATTTTCGCTTCGCACTTCCGTCAGGAACGCGCCTTTGTGAAAGGTCGTGGGTTCAATTCCCATAGTGTCCATTTTTGCCTCCTGAGGACGTCCACGAAATGTGTTTTAATATTTTGCATCGTTAGTCGCTGTTTTGTTGTAGAACAAGATTCAGGAGCAGAGTTTAGCGTTGAAGATGCCAGCCAGGGTGTTGCAAAGTCTACCCCAAAGTTGGGCCATCTGAAGCTCGGCGCAACTAACTTTATGCCAACGGATCTGCCTACCCTCCCATTCCTACGCTTTCTCTCGCAACTGCAATTAAAGCCGAACTCAATTGAATGAGACTTTGAAACCGCCTTGGAAAGATACCCCATTATGATGGAGTTCAAGGCCGATCCTTACTTGTCGCCGCTCCTGCACGCTGAAGCCTAACTCTACTGACGTTGACTCCTGGTGACGCTTTGTGCCGCCATTTCTGCACTGTCAACAGTCTGCGCCTCTGTTCTTAACACTGGCGTAGTCTACACTGTCATATTTTGCGAGGCATCAACTTATCAGGTGCAGAGAGTCTTGACTGCATGGATGGAGGGTTGGACTGGCCCTAGCAGGCGTTACGAGAGTCGACGATGGCGTACTAGATCAGTAACGATTCTTGGCGTCTCCGGGGAGAAGATGGACGCTCAACTCTTTTTTTCCCTTTGGAATTCGCAGGTCCGAAATGATATTCTTCTGCCCTCTGTCCTGTGTAGAGGCGTGTGGACTCGTTGGTTCACAGTGAGTATCTTTATCTGGGCCAGTCTTTTTGGGGAGGTCGTGGTAAACCACCAACTGAGCCTTTTGCGCAAAAGGACAGGCAGCGGGCTGGTCGCTGACAAGGCGGTGGGCGAGACGGAGCATGGCTTGGTATTGGTCTAGCTGAACTCGGAGACTCGACGGAGAGTATACCTGAATCAGCACTCGGTCCTTCGTCACCGTGGCTAGGTTTTGGATCGACGAGTCGTGACGTTTAATCTGGGGAATAGTCTTCCATGGCGAGCTGCGGAGACTTCGATCCGTATCTCGGCCGACCTGATGTCGGAAGACAGTGATGCCCCGCGGTCTTTCTCATCTGACTGTCGGCACCCCTTACCGTACTCATGACAAGTTTGGCAAGTCCGTTCCCTCTGTCTGTTTCTATGGATGCTGTGTTCTACCCGGGGCTTCCTGGCGGCATTAAATCTTGCGTCGAAGCAAGGCGTGACGTGATTCTGTAGCGCTAAATCACGTCTTCGCGTATCAGTTGTTGAATGGGGCCATGCTGTTGGAATCGATGGTCTCATGGTGCTGGCTTTGGGCTTGCTCCTGGGGAGACAAAACGAAGAACGCGGCAGTGAACGCTTCGGCGACTGTCTTCAGCATCTGAACGTTTTAAAGGTATCGTAGTTCCTGTGGATGCGTATCTCCCTCGGAGAGAACAACCTCGGAGGGAACAAAGGGACTGGCGTGCTCTTGAACGCCGCGCAAGAATGAGGAGCCGCCCATGGTGTTTCGATCATCCGCATGACGGTCTTTTATTTCTGCAAGCTATCTGCCTTGTTGGAATGATTTGACTCGTCTTAGATGTGTATCCTCTGTCTTTCCAAAGGTCGTTCTCCGCTTTGAAATTGTGGCAGATAGGGGTAGCTAGCCTCCAGTCATTTTGGGGGACGAGAGGATATATAAGTCACGAAGTACTCCTTGGTCAATAGATCCGCGGATGGTCGTGCCTGGCAAAGAGTTTCGCGAGCGCCAGATACATTCAAATGGTACTCCCGTCGTCTCTGCCACAAGGACAAGACGACCTCGGTAGATGGTCCCAAAACGTGACCGACAACTAAGAGGGGGACTTCAGAATCCCACCGATGTACGGCTGCTACAACGACAGCAAAGGCGCCAGCCAGCCAGTTCAGACTTAGGAATTCCTCATTCATCACACGTGACCAAAAACAAAAGAGTTCACCCCCCCGGTGGCGAATGGGGGCTACATCTCTGGTGCTCAAGCTGGGATTCGAACCTAGACCCTAGTGTAGGCTAAGCCAGTTGATCAAGCTCGCCCGTAACCATCCCGCCAAACGGCAGTTTGACCTGACCTCACAGGCCTGTGAGGCACCTGCTGCCGTTGGTGACGGAATTGGACTTGAGGGGGGGTATATAGGCTTCCTCCCGTGTATACCACGTGAATACACACACGGTGATTCACTGACACCGGCAGCTGAGGTGGGCCCTCTTCCTGGTTCGGATGAACTGATAGTGGTATTGATATCGACATTTATATCGCCAGTGCCTGGCGCAGTTCAAGGCGAGAAGTTCAAGTTCATCGCGATCATCTCTGGTTCTTGTGTGTCCTGCTTATTAACTGTAGGGAGGTCTGCCCCCGACTTCCAGAACCAGCTTCCTCGCATCAATTTGGGATGCGGTGCCACCTGAGTCGGAGATAAGTGGATAGCTCATCACGTTCACGATGCTTTGCAGGATCAGATGTTGTCACCTCATGCACGAAGACGCATCCAAAATCAGAGTCATCGCTCCATCAGGGTCCTATCTCGAGGTCCCGGAACCCAATCTGCGCCACCCGAGACGCCCACTCCCTGGTGAACTTTGGGATCCTAACATGATGACTGGTGCCTTGCATTACACGGCTTCTACACCAAAGGCCGGATGACGGAGGCACGATCGATGTGCTCGATGAGCTGCAGACGGCTTCCTTAGCCAGTCGTGGCGTCTTAATGCTGTCATACACTTTCCAACCGGCATCAGGGTGCCCTTCACAGACCCTGCCGAGTCGACGACATGTTATAAGTGCATCATTCTCGCAAGATGACAAGACGAAGAAGCAAACAACATCCATCACCCGCTCGTTCCATCAACCCTCACACTTACACTAAGCCCACCATGGTGTCCAGCAAGGCTCCCATCGCCGCAGCCGTAGCTCTGCTAGCACAGATCTGCCAGGCCAGGGACCACCTAGTCTTCCGCAATGTCTCGGACAGCCCGCCTCGGACGGTCACCGGCGAGCAGGGGTGCTACACGGACTTTGGCCGGGACTACCGTGGCAGCGTCCCGACTTTCTCCCGGCTGTACTCGTACACGTTCCCCGTCACCGCGTACAGCTACTTCATCCCTTCCACCAGCACCATCACCGTGACGCCCACCGTCTCCGGAGGTGGAGGAGGCGGCGGTGGAGGAGGAGGAGGGTCAGTGACGGGTCCCATCACTTCAACATCGACCGCCACCACAACCACGCACGTCACCTCATTCGGCACCGCGACAACCATCACAGCCGGGCCTCGCTTCACACCCCTCGCCTCCGCCCTCAACCACAGGCGACCAGCAGGCGGCAGGCCCCAGCTCCAAGACTCGAGCTACAGAGCCAACGACGACAGCCTCGTCCTCGGCGTCGACAAGGCCGGCGTCGCCAAAGCCGACCCGCCCCTCTTCCCACAAGCCGTCGTCTGCGAGATGGTCATCCGCGTCTTCACGACCAGCACGTCAACCATCACGGCATCCTACGCAGCGACGACAACAATCACCCTCCCGGCGCCCAACGCCACCACCACCGCCACAGCACCAGTCCAAAACGCGACGACGGCAACGACAACGACGACGGTCACGTCCACCATCACCGACGAGGTGGCCAACCCCACGCAGACCGTCTACCAGGCCTGCCAGGCCAACAACCTGGTCTCGGGCCACGGCGCGCCGCAGACGTACTTTGTCGAGGCGATCCACAGCTGGCACGTCGTGCGGGAGCAGCGCATCGCCGAGACGGCGGAGAGCTGCTGTATCGCATGCCAGGGGGAGGCGGATTGCGGCGGGAGCCTGTATCACATGTTTTCGGGCATCTGCTACACGTTCAGGACCGGGGGCGAAGGTCACGGGCACGGAAGGAACCCCGGGGGCCACGGGGGACAGTGTAGGGCGCCGGGCGAGTTGCGGTCCACCGCGAATGTTGCTGAAGGGGCGGTTTTCGTCGCGAGTAATGGGCAGTGCGGTGGGTGGTGGGTTTCGGATGAGGCGCCGATCTAAGCTGCAGATGTAATGCGTATTAAGTAGCCAATCTAAAGAACGTTGCGCTCTGCATCTGTTGATCCGGGAGATAGAAGAATGGCCCCACTCCCGCCGGGGCCGGGTCCATCCGAACAATGTCTGTCGGAGGAAGTTGAATTGTCCCGGGCCGGGCCGTCGTGGGTCTCCGACGGAAGGTCGGGTGGAGTGTGGAGGACGTGAGGAAGGAGCGATCGGATGACGCTTGCTGCACGCACTGTCCAGAGGCAAACAGTCCCAACAGCATCTCGGGCTTTCTTCACGCATCGCCAAGGTCACCCAACATCACTTTGACATCGCAGGTCCCGCGGAAGCCATTCCGAACATCCTTTCCGATATCTGTCGGTGCAGCTTGAGGTCATCGGGGGAATGATACAGCCATCGTCACCGAGTCCGCAGTGGCCCGATGGCCAAGGAGAGTACGGACTTGCGATTCGCCAGCAACGTAGAGACCCGTCAAGGAAACACCCATCCATCTTCGGCTGCGTCGATTGACGAATCTCTACTGGCCATCTCATCGTCAGTCACAACTACTCGGAAAGTGCTGGCCCACGAGGTATCCCTCGGGCAAGCCCAGCAGCTTCATCAATTTCGCCAAGTCGATCCGGCGAGACATCGTGGGAGACCTCACAGCTGGCAGCATGATGGTCTGTCAATGCCACCAGTCGATGCCAAAGATATGCCGCCCTGTCGTGATACCTGTTGACGGACCGCAGCTCGCTGTCCGCGCAGACCCTCCGAATCCTGCGACCGTCAGCTGGTCGGCTCAGTTTCCACCACATCAGGACACCGCAGTCAAATGCGCTGCGCAGCGTTGCGTGTGCGAAGAAGAGCACTGCCATGCCATTCGCCACCAATGTTCAAAACTCATGGCGAACGCATCAACTTAAGTAGAGCAGACGTGAGCTCGATGCCAGGGGTCGACCAACAGGCAGCCGTTTAGGAGAATTTCGTGCGGCTAAAATGACAGCAGGATGGATTTCGCCTTACCCGCCACCCCGTTCAACCTCATTCTTGGGACTAGAGACCGGTTTGCCGGGGCGCAATCGTGCAATCGTGCGGGTAGCTCGACGCTTGACATGGCGTCTTACCTCTCCCGCTCTCCACTGCCAGGGCGATCAACCAGCCTGCGCTTCCTTCGAGCTGTCCAGCCCCTGCGCCTACATTGTCCCATCGCCAACCCGTTGCGAGACTTGTTCCACAATGCGGCCACCTGAATGGACGGGTGCCATAGGTGCGTCCCGCCGAGTGGCTTGCGGCTGGAGTCTTGGGTCTACTTTCCCAAGAACACTTTGCGCTGGTGCCCGAAATAAGCGCCAAAAGTCAGCCCTGCTGCACCGCGCCAAACGATGGACGAATAACCATCACCCCCAACGGCAACGTCTTCGAACGCGAGCGAGCCTGCGTCTCTGAATCGATAGCGAGCAGTTGTCAGACCTTAGCAATGTCTCGTGTCGCCAAATGGGCAGCGAGAAATGGAACAGCCCTCCCAAAGCCCCTGGATTTGTGCAGTGATCCTTGTTCTTTGGCGGCTTTCTATAATTGCACTTTCAGCTTAGCCCATCGCCACGCGCTGGGCTGCGGGTCCAGACGTTGCATCGCCCGGTACATAGATTGCTCTTGGCGATCCTTCTGAGCAGTTATTGTCCTTTTCCGCGCAGAATGTCCCCACGGTGTGCGGCATCCGGGCCCGCTGCGACCACTGGCACCCCTGCGATGTCATTTCTCCCAGGCCCAGGGCAACCATGCGCTCGCAGACCGTCGATTGAACAAAAACATTCCCCGTCCTCTTTTGCTGCTTGCAGCGGTACCCGGCGTCATCTGCCCGCCGTGCTCACCCACACCCCCCTTCTTTCGGCCGTGTTTCGACGACGACGACGACGACGACGACGACGACGACGATTATCCTCTGGCGACGAGAGGAACAACCTTCGTCGCACGATCGCTTCCACGATGGCGGAACTGGACTCCAATGCGTGGTATCGCCTATCGGAAACGCGCGTCGACAACAGCACCGGACCATTCGCTCTCAACCTCCAGCTTCGAGATGTCGGCCTCCGAGTGCATCCCGTAACCGACGGCACCGCGGCGTGGCAGTTTCAACCTTTTGGCGACGTCAAAGGCCGCTACCTCATGCGCCTCGACCAGGCGGGAGTCAAGCAGCAGCTGGGAGTCTGCTACGATGCGAAGGAACCGGCGACCGGGAACACCGTGGCCTGTCTGCAGGAGTCGTCAGTGGACGAGTCTCAGATTTGGGAGGTTTCGGCATGGGACGGGAAGACGGGGGAATACAAATTTGTCAACGTGGCCAACGGGACCGCCTACGTGCTCGACGTGCATCCGAAATCGAATCTATTCATGAACAGCAACATCGAGGGCTCGGCGAGCGCGACAGACACACAACCGGCTCAGCACTGGGTCATGACGAGCGTCAGCGCCGTCAACGACGGAGCATACTCGACAATCTATTCAGGGAACGTTGCGGTCAGCACGAACTCGGCCACGCTCTCCTCAACAGCGACGACTTCAACGACTACGAAATCCATAACAACCACAACAGGGGCCACAGCCACGGCCGCATCACAAACGGTCTCGACAGCAACCAGCACAGCTGTGACGATACCAACGACGACGGGGATATCACCAGGGGCTGGAGCGGGAATCGGCGTAGGCGTCGCCATCGGTGTTGTCGGCTTGATCGGGGCCATTGCGTTCTTCTGGTGGCGGCGCAAGCAACCGAAGACTGCGCAATATAGCGAGGTCGAGCCAAAGCACGGCGGGAGTATCGAAAGAGGGTCATCATCAATCGCGGGGTCTCCGGCCGTCGGAGGGTACGCGGCGCCGTACGGGGCGCATCCGGGGACAGGGAGCTACCCGTCGTACAATCAAGGGTCGTACAATCAAGGGTCACCGGCGACGATGAGCTATCCCGTACCCCTCGATAGGGGGTCTCCCAATACCATGACCTACCCGATCCCTATGCACACGTCGTCGCCGTCGTCTGAGCCTAACCTATCCTCCTGGCACTACCCACAAACCGTGTCAACAAGCGCACTTGCCGTGCCTGCTGCCGTGCCCCGTCACCAGTTCGACCATCCCGCTATCCACAACGAGTTCGCGCCGGCTGCGTCGAACCCTTCCTTTGAATCAACATCACGCTTCGGCTTTGCGTCAACTGCGGCGTCTTCCCAAGCCAACTCTACAACAAATCTAAACGACCCCGACCCGGTCCCTAGTGCACACGAGCTCGAGGTTGCCGTGCGAGACGTGCCGCGGCGACAGCACGAACTCGGCGAATTCCACCACGGGCCCAATTTCGACCTTTCACAGCCGACGGCAACGACGACAGCGACGATCACGGCACCCTCGGCAGAGCTGAGCGCGTTCCAGCACGGCCCAGATACCTTTACGCAGAGCCATGAGGCCAAGATGCTTGGGGTGCCCACCGCGGAGCTCGGCTCGCACCAGCATGGTCCCGATACCTTTGGCGACGGCCACGAAGACAAGATGCTCGGCGGATTTCCGCCAGGGGCCGAGAAGTATCAGCCGGAGCGGGAGGACAAAGTGCTGGGTAACCTGCATGACCTGATGAGGCCGGTTGCGGGGCAGAGCGGTAGAGGCCGTCGGCCGGATGCCACAGAGGCCACGGGGTGGCAGTCGTACGAGATGCAGTCATTTCCGCCAAGGTGACGGCTGACATTAGGAGGCGGCGATGAAGTATTGCCCGCAGCCACCCAATCGAACCAACACCGAGAGAGCCTCTAGGCGGAGCGGCCGACGTGGATGAACACAATGATACCCGAGTAACGAAAGGCCCGCCCTGCCTTTGCCTCACCCTTGCAGTCATCTTATGGCGAATCGCCAAACACATCTACCGGTGCTATTTATCTACACCTGGCCATTATATCCGGCCGAAAAGTCATCGAGCTCGAGAGAGAGTTCCATGTGCAGCGTCACCAACGGAAAAGCATAGATCCTGGATTTGGACCTCGGATGAAGCTCACGAAGCCTGGAGGACGTCGGAAAGGACCGCCCGATCCTCAGCCGCACTATGGAGCGCGGGAAAGACACCCAGGGTCCACCGAGATGATGCACAAAATCCAAAGAGGGCCCAACAGCACAAATCAGGAGCCGGAACCCTGGAGATGGTTCGTCCGGGAGATCTTAGACCCCTGCGCCTAAACATTCCCCCCCTATCGGAAAGTGAATGTGAGTCCTGGGGAGAAGCACTCTGCCACCCTGGTGATGCCGGGACAGAGAGGCGTTGTTGAACGCCAAAATTCAATTGTACATAAAAAAGAATCAACAGACTTAGAGTAGACTTCTAATCCATGAATAACGACGGCCAGAGTGCCTAATCATTTACAGATTTGTGTACTGGCGTCGTAGGACTGCCAACCATGGGTTGCTTCTTTCTGCCGCAGACAATGTTGATGCTCGAAGAGAGTCAGTGCCAGTGTCCTCTCTTTCCAGTCTGTCAGCTGCTGTGTGGGACGACTGCTCCGTCAGTCCCTCGAGTTCGACGATGATGGAGACGAACCCTACGCCGCAAGCTGCTTTTCCGAGGTGAGGTATGTAAATCTCTCCGGCCTCGCCCCTTCAACAACCCCCCCCCCCCCCCAATCTTTTGGAAAAGATGACGGAACAGTTTTGTTGACTGGTGTTTGTTGGAATCTCCAGAGTTCAAGAGCCCTGAGTCGAGGTAGGTAGCACGGCTGGACTTTCGACCTCGTCGGGGAGAAGAAAGGTCGTGGCTCTTCGCAGGTCGAGAAATCCAAAACGACGGCGTCAACCCGCGGAGGACAAGGACGAGAATGATGCCTCCATTGAACCCCGGAGATTTGGCCTCTCCTAACGATGAACGGGACTTACAAGCCAGCACACGAAGAGTCACGCCAGAGCAGATCCAAGTCGCCGGACGATGGATGCTTCTACGGTGAGGTACAGATCATCACGGGGACGGGAAGGGCAGCTTCTAGCTTCTTTCGACACGAACTTCTCGAGCGCAGTCTTCCGACGCAATGCGAGGTCTATCAACATCAGCGGAAAGCAAAAGGGCTTTTGGCGTTCCTGCTAAGCAGCCAAACACCGTACCCAGCGGCCACACCGGAATGCGCACTCAGAGGGTACGATCTTTCAAGCCGTCCCTGGAACAAGTCGTCCGCTGCCGTGTGAACTGATCTGTCAGCGCGGCTGCCGGGGCTAGACGAGGTGATGCCCGTATAATCACTGGGCACACTCCAAGAGGGTCGGGGCCACGGTCATCATCTTACCGGACGACAATCCTCTTCAACTACTCGCCTCTGGGCGAAGTTGACTCCCAGGTACGTTCACGTCCAAGAGGGCTTGAACGGCTCCTCTGCCAATCTACCTGGAAGCTGCGCGTGTGCGGAGTAAGCAGAGGAGAAGCCCGTACCGATGACTCCTGTCTCCTTCAGCTCGCCCATGCGAAGACAGAAAGGCTTGGATGGCATCTGGTTCGCGGCCTCACCGAGCAGTTGAGCAGGCCATCCCCGAGAAGACGCCGAAAACCTCACACAGTTCACAACAATCTATCGAATCAGCCATAGAACCATTCATACTGATTTAGACGCGACATCACGGGACCGACGGCACTACCACCGCACTCGGCATCGGACCGGACGCGGCCCCGGACCTCCAAGCCCAACGGCGGCTGCGAGCCCACATAAGTGGAGGTCTCTCGGCACCGACTCTTATTCCCGTTCGAGTGTCGATAATCCCCGGATTTCGGCGAGGATGCAACGACACGCTGCTCGACGGCGTGCTATCGTCTCGGCCCGGGGATCAGAATCTCAGCCTGGCGTCCTGTAGCACATAGACAAGTCATTGTACAAGATGGCATTACCTCGGCTTCACAATCGTCAGCTAGGGGAGCCTCCGTCGGCTGATGGCTATGAAACACAACGTGCTCGTCAGGCAATTGAACCTCTCCGAGGCATCGAGGCTTGGAACGGCACAGCGATGATGCCCTCGGAATGGACAGTCACATGCCTCAAGCCGACGCCTTTTTGATGATGTCGATTGCGAGGGCCTCTCGCGCGTTCAGCGAAAGATTGACATGCGGTAGCATTGGAAGATGCAAGTCATCGACCGCCATCAAGTCAATGTCGACTTTCCGACGAACCAGTCTGGACGGCCGTCACGAGGGCGTTGGTCTATCAGAACAGAGCTCTCCGGGACGGGATGTTGCATTGCAGGTTCCTGACAAAACTTCATTGCTTCCACATGTCATCCAAAGCGATGGCGGTGCATTTTGCATGTGGTTGACGCTGCCCAGGGCTCACAGTGATACACGGCCAGCAACATCCCTCGCAACGTGGACCATATACCCCAACGCCCAGAGACATCTTGTCGCCCGCATACCCATGTGACGGCCCTCGAATTGGAGAAATCAAGCGAGCATAGAAACCGACCGGGTAAAGCAGGAACTGTGTAAGTCCATTGGTCTGCTCCATGGCCGATGTCGCTTCGCCGGCATGACTCCTGCACCGGAAAACTTGCACGATCGTCGATTCAAACCATCTGCCATTATGAGTAGACCGACACGAATTTTCCAATTGCGGGTTTGTGGGGTTTGCTGCCCTCACATGCCACGATATACGACGCGAAGCATGAATTCCTCCTTGCGTCCCTTGGGTGCTGGAAGCTATACGGACTAGCTTCTGCCTCTCGGGAGGAGTCGGAGACCCCGACACGCGCCTTCCGAGTATTTCCTCCGCCGTGGGGCATGATTGTCGTGGTGAGGGTTGGTGTGGGGGATCTGGACGAGGCTGTGGACGCACAAAACTCTAAGCGTCAGTACGACAATCCTATGGCGGACTCGGGCAATGTCCGAAAGCCTTTCCCCAGAGAGAGCTTGCTGCAGAGGAAGACCCAATCAGGGGCGGCAATCTCTAGATGATCTTGCATCTGGCGGCACCTCGTTGGTGCCCGAGAGATGGAGGCCGGGGTAGCATATCCATCATCCATGGGCTCCATGGCCATGGAGACGTCGACCGCCGACGAGTATCCAGCACAAAAAAAACTGGTTGGCGTGTCAGAGGAACCGGTTCCGAAATACGGAGACCAACGGAGCTTGTCGGAAGCGTGACAGCTCCAAAGTTGCATCGTGCGGGGTGCGACGCCCCCGTCTTTAGCTCCATGCGGGGCCGGGGAGGTTTGAGAGCTCTAGCCTCTAGCTCGAAAGAGCCGCCAGTGGAGCGGGCTAGCGACGCCGGGCCAGGTTCTGGAGGTGCGGGATGGCTGACATTTGCGCAAGACGGCAATCGTCCGCTGGCGGCTGGCCGGCGTTTACCCGCATCGACTCCAGTCCAACTCCACGAAAGACGTCCATCGAGAAAGAGAGGGTGAAACATGTCGATTTTGTCAGCAGCGTGTTGACGGTTCAACCGTGACGGTCAGATATGCAGAGCAAGATTGTCATTAGGTAATGTTAGGTAAGATATATTGCAGACGACGTCAGGTGCCTGGTCAGGTGCCCGGTGAACGGCCATGGTCCAAGCGGTGAGCCAGAGCCAAAGTGTTGGGTTAAGGTTGACGCGTCTGATCGTTGTTGACAAGAAGCTTGGCGGCGTTTGTCCAGACGCCAAGGTTGCCAAGGCGAGAGCAGGATCGCGGGTGAAGAAGGTTGTCTCAGCACGTGTGGGAAGTCTGGGGAATCAAGATAAGCTGTTGCAACTCCGTAAACTGCTACGGTGTCTCGGGGATTGAGCGATGCTGCTGTTGACGATGAACGGCGGTCCAAATTCGGTGTTGTCTAGAGTTCACAAAGTCGCCAAAGTCAAAGTGCGTGGAGGACGAAAAAGTCCCGACTTCAAACCTTGAAATCACCAACCTCAACGACATCACCGGACGGACCCCAGGACGCCCCGGCCATCGCCTAGCTCGCGATGCAGAGACCGAAGCTGACATGGCGCCGAGACGAACGCCATGCGCAATCGCAAGTATCGTGAACTTGGTCCACCAGCGGCAGGCATTGCAACCTGACGTCCATTTAACGTGGTTTCGTCTGAAGTTTCGATCTCAAGTACCGTTAACAACAGACCCTGTCTTGCCCAGTGGACGGTGGCAGCAACCCTCGGGCATGACTTGTTGTGCGTGCTTCAAAACGGCCGAAACTGTGATTTGCAAGCAGAGTCGTGTTTGAGACGGGTGGGGGACGGGCGTCGAGAGGAGAGACTAGACTGGACGCGTGGAAGTCCTTGTTTCAATCCGCAGAAGATCCTCATCGAGTGTGATGAACGGCCAGGAGAGGGGGAATCCAGTCGAGTCTCAGCGAGGAGCGGGAAACTTGTGAAGTCGGGAGGGAGCCACGCCCACGACCAGGGGGTGAAAAGTTTTGGAGCCAGGCCTGGCATTCGGTACCGGTGGGTCTGCCGTCAGCGTGCGGTGTGGGTTCGCCTTGTTGTGGCTTGCCGCTAAGCGGAACCCCTGTGGAGGGATCGGGCAAAGTCGGGAGCTCGTCGTGTCTGAGGCTTGTAGGGACTCAGGGAGAGTCATGCTCGGTATGCAGTCGACGGTGTCGTTGTCAATGTGTTGTTCGCTTTGCTTATCTTGCTTAGTTGGAGATTTGGGGGCTGCGGTCCACCTCGCTCACGGGATGGTGGGAAGATAATGGGCAGCAAACGGCACCGTATCGGGCGTTGAACACGAGTTCAGACCGCGGGATATCGCAGTACGTTCCGCGGGGGGCTTGATTCTGACGTGCTCCAGCACTTGATAGGGCGGGATATCGCCTGATGAATCTTTAACCCGATATCCCGCCGACTGCCCTCCGTCATTTCGTATCCATTGGGAGATTTCGCGAGCGTCGTCTATTCAGGTCTGGGTCTTCAGTCATATTCCAGAAGGGGACCCGGAATTTGCCAAGGGGCGAAAAGTACCTGCAGGCACGGCAGCGTCGCATTAAAGACTGCATGGGTTTGGATTCCGACGGCCGACCCGGCCAAGTGCCTAGTGTAGAGCTTGTGGAAGCCTGGAAGGCCCGGAGGCTCGCCCAGAGTGCAACACGCTCCCCCAATGCTCACAGACTGGAGGACAACGGTTCGGGACGCTGTGACAGAGACTAGCCGGAAGAGGAGGCTGGCCAACAAATGTGACGGCCGTCATTGGCCGACGATTGAAGATATCCCCCGTCGTTCTTGGTTCCTTCGTTTCAATAGTAGTTGTTGATTTGTTAGACTTTGGACATTGCGTTGGCCGGCCGAGCCCCTGGTTTTTGCTTTTCACCAAGCAATAGTGCGACGGACAAGATGGAAAGATGGAACGAAGACACTGTTGGCGTCCACGGGTCGGGGGCATGGGGGCGTCCTTTTGCAAAGCTTTGTTCGTTCCTTGTGAGCACGTCAGCGAAACGGATGGAGAATGCGACGTGCGAGGCATTGGCCAGGCTGGAGTGTCGCGTGCGCACAGAAAGAGCAGGCCGTAGTCTGTACGAATACTGCGTACGGACAGAGGCCGTAGCGGTCCCGGGGACCGTCGGAGGGCGGATTCGAGATTGTAGGTTGGAGGAGGCCCGGACGGGTGCTTGCTAGGTACAGCTAGCGTCGGCGAGATGTCCGGCCGGTGATGGAGAAGGAGGAAGTTCTATGGACCATGGATTCCAACTTGGACGGTTCCACCTCGCGAGGGAAGCCCAAGTGGATGTTCTCCTGTTCTTCCGGTGGAGTTGGCTCAAGGGTCGACGTCTTTGGGTGTGAGGGGGGCAGGCCGCAGGCGGGAATGGGATGCAGGTGCAAGTGCAGCAAGGCTTGACAGGGTCGAGGGCTCGAGTGCGACGACAACGTACATTGGGCTGCATGGCTGACGACTTTTTGGGGGGTTGAAAGTGCCGACGGTTGACACATTGTGCCGTATTTGTCGGGGATTTCTGGTGATTGTGCCGACGTCGCACCTCTCTCTTCTCACCGGTTGGAGGATTCTGGAGAGGCGGGAGGGATCAGACATCCCAACAAAAAGAGGTCCTTTGGGGTACAGCAGGCAGGCCGCAGTACAGCTTAGCCGCAGCTAGGTGAAGCTTGGGTGCGTCTAGGTGCCGTGGATGATGACTGTACGTAAGACGTCTGCACAAGAGGCCGTGGACGTCTCTGCGGGCGTCTGAGCCTTTGGATCCTGTGTCGACTTTGGAGAGTTGCCGTGTCTCACTGGGGCGGAAGAGTCGATGGGCATTGGGACCAGGGCGCAAGGGGAGACGACGGTCGCTAGGTCAGGGGACGAAAAAAATAAGATACAAAATCGTGGTAAACCAAACAGAGAAAAAAATGTGGAGTGACCCAAGCACGAGAAAGCCGTAAACAATCATGGTCGGGGGGCAGGGCCGATTGGCAGCGACGATGACTCCGCGAAATGTCGTTTTTCTGCGCATGTTCCATTCTTTGATTTGGTGAGATTCAGCGCGCCATTTTCAAAGATGCCTGGGTGGTTGTCCTATGACTCTGCATCGTCAATGAGCATGGCAGGACCGATCCCGTGGTCGGAGCTGCCTTCCGTGAATCAAGTGTAGAAATAAAATAGCAGGAGCACCTGGGCACGTAGGAAGCCATGCACTTGCCCTGCTTCACTTTGAGGTAGACTTCCATTTGCTTCTTTCTTTCTGAAGCTTCGTCCATCGACGACCATCCAGGGGAAACATCACCCAATGTGATCTTTACGAGACCGAACTGAATCAATTGCATCGCTCGGAAAGAAACACCACTCCACGCACATCGACACGGATAGCCCGACTCCACTCGCCGCCGGACAGACTGCCGCTGCGCCGCTGGCAACTTGCTTGGGCTGACATCCCACGCCTCCCACGCTCACTTTCACGCCCACGAACACCCTCCCACGTCGACGAAGCGAAGCGAAGCTAAATCGTCCGCATTCCGTCAGCTCACCTTATCTGCCGTGTGCACTATTTCGAGTGACGGACAGCAGACCATCTCCACTGCAGCTCGTTTCCCAGGTAGGCAGGCCCCTTTCCCGGTCCTTCGTCAGCTTCCATGCCTGCTCCATCTGGCATCGCGGCACCCAAATGCAAAGACCAAGATAGCATCAATCTTCTGCGCAATCTACGCCATTGTGAGCTGACGGAAACGGGCCGTCCACAAGCACCACTGTGTTGTTCTCTAGGCTAATTTTCGGTTTGCTACGCAGAAGTGAGAATCACCTCCTGAGTCTTGGACCTCGTACTTCGTCTCCGGATACACCGTCCCGGCGTCACCACCTCTTCACCTTGCCGCCTCCCGTCGCCTCACCGACGCCCCTCTCGGCCCTCGTACACGCCCCGTCCTTGTGTCGCCTAGAGCTTCCTGTGTACTCCGTACGGAGAACCTGACGAGGTACCCAGTTACCCCAACTTGAAAATTTTCATCGGCCTTCTCCAACTCTGCGAATTCAGCCAGAATTGGGCACGAATTCGGAAAAAAACGACCATCAACAAGAAAGGAAAAAAAAAAAAAGAAATTGCCAATTCCTAGGATCGGGTCTGGCTTCCGTCTTCTCCCACCCTCCACACCAACACCCCCGTCTCAACCCTTAACCACCCCGGTCGTCGACGGACCCTCGTCGCCCCCGTTATTCAACCACCCTGGTCTCCCGGCTCCACGCCGCACACCCTGCCACGACCTGCAGCGAACCCTCTGCACAATCGACCCCGATTCGGGTGCCAGTCTCCCTACTCTGTCGTCTGTGTACGGATACGCCTGGGCGGAAACCTTGGAAGCACATCATACAGTTGGATTCGAATCAAAGCTTGGAGCTCCAGCGCACGCTCGACCTGCTACGTAGTCCGCACGCCACAACGCACAGTCACAGAGCACTCCCTTGTCCCGCCATCCCATCTTCTGCGCCGTCCCATCCCTCCATCGCTTTCCCAATTCTCGTTCCTCGTCCGCCCGTCTCCCGTCCCCCGTCTCCAGGCTTCGCTCGTCCGTCGTCCAGGCAAGTACCCGGTACCTCGACGCCTCTGCCGGCGCCTGGCCTTGCTGCCATCCCTCCTTTGTGAAACTGCCTTGAAACCCCCTTCTCCCTATCATTCTCAGATCCTCCGTGGCCATGGGTCTAAGTCGCTGTACCTGGCCGGGCAAACCTCCATCGAGGACCGGACCAGTTCACAAGGTTTTAAACCGACTTTTCCTCGTCCGCGATCCAGTTGCAGGGAACACAACGCCCTCCCCCTCTGTTGGTCCATCCAATGCAACTCTTGCGACTCCACGCTCTCACCATACTCTAAATTGCCTTCCTGCGCCTTCTCCGAAAGCTGGTCTCTTGCTGCGTCCTCCTCATCAACGACTAATATCACGTTCCGGCCGGTCCCATTACACCACACGCACCACACGCACCACTACCCATCACGCTCGTCTGCTTCGCCTCGGAG